ATCCCAAACTGGATCAAGAGAACGTTATGCTTATAGGTCACGTTCGTGCAAACATAGTATCAGAGGTTTTACGACGACAAGCTTGGAAAACGGACCATCGATCCCAACATAGGGTCAGATTGTATTCAGGCCGCAAGGGCGGATCGAGACATTATTCGCTAGAATATACGTGTTACCTTAGTAGATTCCTGAAGTAAGGGCACTCCATCACTCCAGGTTGGTATGGTGTGGTTTCTTCGCATCACACTTGCTAACATGTAATCACATCAAGGGAATAGTTTCGTCTCTACTTTATATTACACTAACTAACTTGAGGACAACCAGATTTTGATAGCTAGCAGCATATGCGACTTCCCCTCTTCTGCTGCTAAGACTGATAGACATGTTCCACTCACGAAGACAGTGATTGTGAATCTTATTGTATAATCTTTTCACTGAAAGGGGGGAGTAGAATGTTGTTCTGCCCCTGACTTTCAAAGTCTATCCGTTTGACATACCTTATCATCTTGATGTGCACGCGAAATCAAATCTGGCTCACGCTTTCAATGAGACTTGGTATTTTCGCAACCTTCTGAGTCAGTGTAGATACATGTGATCTTCTTCTCTGACCTTTCATGCAGATCTGAATCTCTGAACTCAAAACTGTCATCTACCAGGCACAGACTAGCAGACAAAGAGACCAGCTTCCTTGCTTGAAGTGTGGAGTTGATATTGATGGAGATCGCAGCATTTATTTCGTCCACATTTGGCTTCATTCCACATGGATGTCTCACACAATCAACTCAACTCGTTTCCTGTGGTCAAGGGGATCACGAGATCCCCTCGACCACATCCCATGTTCAGAGCGAGAACCGAGTAATTCGCAAAAAGGATGGGAGGGTTAGGGATAACATGGGATCGGAGCCCTCATCCCAAGTTTAGAGAAAAGTAGAACATGTCCACGTTCTCGTTGGTCTGATGCAAAAGCTTATCCAATAAAAAAAAATAGAATCTCCTTTTGCTTTTGATCTCCATGAGATGTTGAGTAATTCGTTTCTCATCCAAGTGACCAAGTCTAGATCGGCAGAGTAATTTTCTGGCCATGCATTTCACAGAAGATGCAGTTGTGGTGCCCACCTATACCTTCACAATCTGTCCCGTACAAATTTGATCATGAAGGTTCCTACCTGTAGGGTAGGCGGACATGCCCACGTTCTTGGATCTAATTTGGTTGTCCAGATAATTCTCGGCAACCCAAGTAGTGCTCTCTACATCACAATCTCCCCTATCTCCAGATTAGATCCACCGTCTCAAGACTTTTTAGCATGCTATCCGACAACTCTCATAATTCAAGCACCCCGAGATCAAAGCACATGTGTTCTCCATCATTTCATTTTAGTTTGATGTATTCGGAATGCGAGCAAATGCCTTGTGCCCTGACAAGTTTACTGCATATTGTAGTCTTAGAAACAGACCCGGTTAGACCTACCCTGAATAAAAAGTAATTTAAAGTCTCGACTATAATACTATTCTATTCGATTAATACTATTCTAATCGAGCATATGGGATGGCAACACCCCATCGAGTCGTACAGGGGTGAAACCGAGGGTAGGCTTGAATTTCCCCACGTTTCAGTCGTTTGTAACAGCTACGGTGCTTCACTGTGTGAACTACGTCCCAACAGTCGAAAGGAAGACTTTTCCCTCTGCATCAAGTGCTCTGCCAAATCTTCCTCCAGCGACAGAGCTCAGATTTCAGTTTTGCGTTTTTTTACTAAGAGGGGGTCTCCAACTTGTGGCCTTTCATCTGTAACGCCGTGCGAGGGTGGGGCACAAAGCTGGAGGTTGGGTGAGGTTGGAGCATACGCAAATGGTTAAAATAATTAAGCTGAGTGTGTTTTAGTGCCCTTTTCTGGCAAGATGCTTGCTTGCCTTCAGCTTAAGGCCATCGGTCATGCTAACAACAATCGTGGGCCTTTCTGGTTCAATCATTGTGCCTTCATTCTCTTGCTGGAGGGGATTCGACATAATTGTAAAAGCCCTTTAGTTTCCTCATGAGACCATCTTCGACGCACCATCTCATCCATTCCTCACAAAAGCCTTCACTTTCGACGGTCCAACTATCGCTAACTCGATTAGGTAGAGTTTCCCGTAAAACTTCACTTGGATATCGAAGTAGCATCAGAACTTTCTGCAAAATCAAACACCAAAACTTTGATATTCTCCCTTGGTTCTAAATACGAAAATTTTTATTTCTGACTTGTATCTTATCAATAACAGACAGGCAAGGCATTGTCGAGAACACAAGATTGTCGTTGGTCTAAGATAATGGAGATCCACAAGTATGTCACTTAGTAGTAAGTGAGCTCATAATTAGTTGCAAAATATAAAATAAACTTAAAGGTTATTTTCTTAAATTTTTGATTGATTATATTACAGTTTTTTGATAAGATATTCTTGAAAATCTTATCCTTGAATATTTTGTTGGAAATTTGTGAGCTAATAACTTACATTTCTACCATGTCATCAATATTTCCAGTTTTTCAAAATAAAAACCTAAAAATACATACACCTTATCAAATGATTTGTATTCAATTTTCTAAAATTGCAAATTTTTATGAACAATTACAACTTTAGATTTTTGAGCTTGAAAATAAAGCTATATATATATCTTATGATCAAGAACAGCCCTTTAATGTTTTATTATTTGGGAAGTTTCTCAATGTAATTATACTGAGAATTTAGATTTTGCTTAATTTGAAAATTTATAACATAAATTCCCATTATAATTTGATGCATTCTAAATTTTTCCATTGTTTCAGAGTTTGAAATTCAAGAACTTAAAAAACTTAAATTGTGTTTATTGATGTATGCTCACTGAATAGAGTCATTGTCATTAACAGGATATATCAGTTGACCTTAGTATGATCTTATAATTTCATTTATGCTGATTAACATAGGAAAAAAATATTTTAGCATTTTCAGAACGTCTTGTCTCCATATTTTTTTTATTTTTTGAGGGTTTTTTTCCACATTACTCAATTTTGAAAATTTACTTTTCCTTTCAAATCAGACACTTGTGAGAACTGTGTCCAATTACATTCTCAGTGAGATAATCTTACGTTTGATATGTTGAAATATCAACATATAACCTGCCATTTTAAAATCTATTGTATCTTATTGTGACACACATTCGCAATCAGTGAACATGTCACAACGTATATCTCTCTGCGGACAAAGGAGGGAAATGTGATCTCCCTCTAAACCTCGACACCTCCGTATATTAGCTATAACGAAAATCGTCGTATCCTCACCAACTGAGCATTAATGACGTCAATTGCAATAGACTACTTCTTGAGATTTATAATCATCACTCATAAATATTGAAATAAATTTCTTCAAACGTAAGAAGTTTGACTCAGATTATGGTACACAAAATTGCATTGAACCATTCCACTTTCTACACTACACCCAGAATGATGTCCATATATGTCTTTCAAATGGACTCCAAGCAGTTGATTTGTCAAAAGCTCACCATGCCCCAATGCCATACTAAGAGAGCAGAGTAAATAGAGCGATTCAAATAAACGTCATAGATGAAAGTACCAGTCAACCATCGACTTGAGTTCTTACCACTCCAACGCAGTTGCAATCACTAAGTACTATCATGACCAAATTATTGTGCAAAATGGAATTAATTGATGTCTCAGTTGAGGAAACTGTACACGAGCTGACGTGACCTCGCTACCTTCAATAGTAGCTAGGCTCTAATGGAAGAGGGACTCTCATACCTGAAGGTGGAGGAGTATCTGTGACATCACACTCAGAAGACTCGAGTGGACGAGGACCAGTTTTGACTTGAACAACAAACTTTCCTAAATGATAAACCGAGAGCGCAGAAGGAGAACCGCCACACACACTGAACGGAAAATTTAGATTTCATACAATCCCAAAAACAGTAGTAAGCAAACGACTCCAAAGTGAATGGGCATTGGCTCTTGCCGTGATGCAAATATAAACTGTATGACATCATAAAAATGATGCATCAATGCATGACATCGATGAAGGAAACGCTCACTCCTTGACAACCATATTCTCTTACATAAGCAGTTAAGCTTAAAAATGGACATCAATCTAATAATCTATAGCAAACTGCGTCGAAGAGCAACGTGATAATGGCTTCAGTCCTGGAAATTAAATGGTAAGCGGTTTGGGTAGCAAGAATATAGACGTTGCGTCTGTCAACCCGGTTGGTGAGGTCCAGGACTGGAGTGACTGCGGTCGCCATCATCGATCAAACAGAGCTGCGTTCATGGTAGTGGACCTCCAAGTGTCTTACTCGTCCACGTCTCAATGCAAATATGCACAAATTCAATCCAAATCGTCAACATCATATGAAAATTATTCAAATCACCAAAATCACTTCATTGATCTTAAAAAGACTCCGATGGCTTGAATTTCCGTCGCCAGCAAAGTTCATGTGAAGAGGGGAATCGATAAGAATTGATGGAGGAGCATGAAAAGTACAAGGTTCGTTCATAACCTGACGAAGGAGGAGGAGGGTTCGAGCAACTCATAGATTCTGTCCGTTACCGCAGTCGGAGAAGTCCGGGCCACCATCACCACCACCAGCACCACCGGTCAAGGGGCGTCCTGCCGTCATGGAAAGAGGGACCTCAAGAGTCTCGGGAGCCATAATAATACCGAGGCGAATATATATGCAGAAGAAAAACCAGAACACGAAACGAGAGAGGGCCATGATTTCTTGACGGACAAAAATTCAAAAACTCACACTTATGATCTTGAACAACCAAAAATCCCATTACTGCCTTAACTTTGCCGGCGAGCGAGCGAGCTCCGGTGGAAGAAGGGAGAAGGGAGAAGGGAGAAAAGGCGCAACACTTTAATAAAATAATGGAAGGGAAAGGTGAAGAGAGAGAGAGGGGGGAACTGCGGGCGCGGTTGCCATTGGTCATGGGAGGGGACGGGGAGGGGGAAGGTGGGAGCAGTCTTTTGACTCTTGACGTCGAGGTCCGCGGGGGGGAGAGAGATTTGTGAAGGGGGAAGAATGGCGAGAATCGGACTTGCCTCGGAGCCACGTTTCTTGGAGTGGATTTCCACTATACCTTGGAATCTACGGAACGTCTAGGCAGCAAGGGAGGTGTGACCAGTAAGAGAGGGGGGAGAAGGTGCGCGAGCAGGAGTCGCAGATGCTCACACTGCAGCGCCGCGGAGAGCAGAGCAGAGCAGAGCAGGCACAGAAAGCAGCAGCAGCATCACAGTCCAGTCCAGCCCAGCCCAGGCCCTCTCGGGGCACCACCACTACCACCACCCCCATCCCCTCCCCCACAGAGGAATTTGGTACAGGCACGCGGGAATGAAGCGCGAGCCTGAGTTTCTGCAAATCAGCTCCCCATCGCCATAGCGCCCCGGCCGATTTCAACTCCAGAGATTGAAGAAGAAGTGAGAGAGAGAGAGAGATAGAGAGAGAGAGAGAGGAATGGAAGTGGAACGCAGCGAGAGAGTGAGAGAGAGCGAGCGCTAGAGCGAGAGAGAGAGAGAGAGAGAGAGAGAGAGAGAGAGAGAGTTTGGCAAGGGAGGCAATGAGAACTTGGGCTGTGACGGCAAGAGAAGGCGGCGAGTCGAAGAGCGAGGGCGAGGGACTGGCCGTCTCGAAGGTGAGTGAGTTTATGAGTCGGTTCTGCTCGTCTCCGTGAGCCTGCGAAATTTCGCTCTGTGGCCGGGGATGGCTGATTGCGCAGGTCCAGCTTGCTCTGGGTCCGGCACGTAGAATAGGCAGCTTGCTCTGGTCCCATTGGCGCCTGGGCAAATAGATCCTCTCACTGCTGCAGAGTGAGTGCCCAGCACTGGCGCGACTTGCCTCGGGCGGCGACCGCCCGAGCTTCTCGTTCGGTTTGCCTTTTTTCAGCGGAGTCGACAAAGCGGTCGAGTGACAGTCGGCTGATGATCGCAGCTCGACAGGCAGCTCCGTGATCCTTGAGCGGGCCGCTCGCATTGCAGTCGGTGGGCTGTTGAGCCTCTGAGGCTCTCAGGGAATTTAAAAGAAATGGCTGCGCTGCGCTCCGCTCATTCGTGAGTGAGAGCGCCAGCGTCTGACTTTGCGTTTGCGACTCGGAGAATTGTGGACGCAGTGATGGAGTTTGTGCGGATTGTAATACTTTGGAATTGTTTGATGGTGATGAATTCCAGGGAGGACAGCGAGGACCGGACTCTGTTATGGGCCCATGGAGCGTAGACTCGGTGTTGTCGCCTCGACTGAGCTCTGTTTTGCTGCACCTGCTGCTCGTCGGCGTTCCCGTCTAATCGTCTAATCGTCGAACTACGGACCAGACATTCAGAGTTTTTCAGGAGTGAACAATGGCATTCGTATCTCGCAAGTCCGCACGTATCAGGAAATCAGTTGTAGAGGACCTGTGCTCTTGCTGCGCGTATGGTGCATTTACGCATCCGGTTGTTGTCCAATAAGGTGCCTAGTGGTGTAGGTGCCAGAGTTGAGCTCGCGACCAGGAGCAATCAGGAGCTCCGAAATTCACCACAGATAATGACGAAATTTTTTTAAGATGAACTCTACGTCTCGTTCCACCATGCGCAACAGATTCGATTTCCTCTCTTCAAACGTTTCTGACGAAGTCTCCACTCACATTGATAGCGATTACAATCCGTTTCTGGTTCGGAAGAGGCGGATTTTTGAAACAGCGCTTGAGTCTCGGAAGTTGACTCGGCCCACGAGCTCACAAACATGTACAGGCAGTGGCTTTGACGTTTTACCGGAAGACTTGATCTTCTATATATTCAAAGCTGTCATTTCCTCAGCTTCATCACCTGCGGATTTTGCCAGTACATTGCTGACGTAGGTTCCAGCATACACCTCATGACATTTTTTTATAGGATTATTATGTGACTAGTGTGCAGACGTTTCCTCGCAGCGTGATTGACGACCTGAGCTCAGCTCGAGTGAGCTGAATCCGAGGCCGGAGGGGGCTGAATTTGAGCGTGACTCTGTCAGGACCCTCACCGCCCTGGCGGATTGCTCAGTGCCAATCTCAGGTCGTCATTCGGGCTGCGAAGAAACGGAATCGCTGCGAATTTCTGCGTAGCTCTTTGCTTAGGTGTTTCGTTGCCCAGGCTGTTTGAGTTGAGAAGAAGATCTGGAATGTGGGTTTGCAAGCATGTGCACGTCTGCTAGCTCTCCGCGTCAGACGAAAGCTGTAGCCGCCATCGAGCTGAAGTGTCGGTAAGATGAGAGATAGCAGAGAATGTTGAAGATAGCCGAGACTCAAGCATTGTTATTGACAAACTCAGGTGTAAAAGATTCAACGCAGCCGGCACGCATCACCAAGTTTTGGTCCACGCCTCGTCCGGTGCGTTAGCAGTGAAAGCTTCTAGTTGGTCTGATCATGCCTACAACTTCCTCAAGAGATGCGCGGACGCCGGAAATATAGAGGCCTGCTACACTCTCGGCATGGTTTGTTCCTTCTTCCACTCCCGGATACTCTTCTCCACATAGAGCGGGCAGTTTTGCATGTTGCATCACGTGTAGGACTTTTGGGCTTGACTACTGTGTTCTGGCTTGCGATGTACAACGCCCGGCGGATCGACTCGGTTTAGAATGTCAATCAGGTGCGACATGCCGTGTGTGCTCTCATTCAAGTTTTCTCCCAGCTGCCCAGTGACGTCATTCCGCACCAAGTGAGGACTGTGTGGGTCGGTAGCCATGAGCATCAACGAGTGAATGTCAACTTTGAAGATCATGCGCATTACGACCGGAGAGAAATTCCAAAATTGCGATCAGTGTGATAATTAGCTTGCGCCCCAGTTATGTTGTCTTACCAACTATCTGGATGTGAAGTGAAAATCTGGACTCGACGATGAAGGTCTGTCGACTGTCTGGACTGGAGTTGAAAAATGAAGGGTTTTTGGCGCATTGGTAGTGGACTGGATTACCGGTTTTTAAGACGGAGAAAATACGTAGTGTAGTTTCCGGTCCCTTCGAAGCAGGGAAATGCGAGGATGCAGAGCCTGTTCAAGCATCCCCGCCGGTGCTCAATTTCTATACCTGATGGGCAAATTGGCGTCACCCGAGGATATGAGTGTAAAGAAAAGTAGCAAATGTGTTACTTCTTCTACTTCTCGTTCTGTCTGTTGTACTAGCCTCGTAGTCTCTAGGCGTCAAAGAATGCATGATAAGATGAATGGCACGGTGAAATGTTTGTTTTCTGGAAAATATTGTTTGGGCAAACCACACACTCCTCTCTCGTCTTCCCATTCTTCCTCATACACAGAAGAGGCACAAATTACTATTTGCGATTTTGTAGAAGATTTTGTGCAGGCACACCGAAACATAGGCAACCTGTCAATTTCTTCTATTTACTTTGCAATCTGTTTTAGCAGATTCAAAGTCGCAAGGCTTCAGTGAAATTCACGGTAAGACCAATTGCACCGTGAAATTTAAGATCTGTTACACAACCTTTTGCATACGTTGGCACCCGGTCCAATTTAGATTCTGTCCATTTTTATTGACCAGATTGAACATCTCCATGTTCCAAGAGGACCCATAGTTCAGAAAAGTTGCACTGTCACTTCGTGATTTGTACGAGATGGAGTGTACAGAGATCGAATTTACAGGTATACGACTCAGAAGAAGAGCCTCAACTTCTTATACGATTGACAGGTATACAACTCAGAAGAAGAGCCTCAACTTCTTATACGATTGACAGGTATACAACTCAGAAGAAGAGCCTCAACTTCTTATACGATTGACAGGTATACAATTCAGAAGAAGAGCCTCAACTTCTTATACAATTGACGCGTATGCGAAGTGACGCGCTTGCGAAATGAAATATGGTGTAAAAAGTAGACATGCGATGTTTAACATATGTCGAAACGTATGTTTCCGGTCTGGCTCTTACAGGTTTTACAGCTGACTCTGTAACAGCGCGAGGTCTTCGGGTTAAAATGCCCAAAGTTACAAAAGACAATGAGACATCGAACCGATCCCTGTTATAGTCTTGCCTGGAGGTTTTTTTTTGCTGTCACGATTTCTTTACCTAGTACGACACCACCTCTTGTGGAACATACATCTTGTTCATAATTGGAAACTTTGATAGCGTATGTTCTTCTTTGAAAGCGTATGTTCGCTTCAAGTTGTAACTTGAAGCTAGAATCGCATCATGACTATATTTAACTAGTCATCGGTTGCCTCACCCACCTGGTCACCTCCCGCCTGCCTGACTAACAAGTGACTGAGTACTTTAGGCTGTGATTTCCAGATAAATAATTAGCTGCTAACATTTCCCTTCCAGTTTACCCAAGTGTTGTTTAGAAATTGCTTGAAGTTCGACACATGGATAGAAGAGCGCATCCAGCAATACAATCTAGGAAAGAAGGAGACTCGTGGCTGGGTGCTGCTTGCTGGGTGAAAGCAGGGAAAGATGCGAAAAGGATTAGGGAGGACCACACTGATTGCTTCGGATTGGTTGGGGCCGAAATCTGCTTTCTGATTGTAATGTCACTCATGTCTGATTGCCTGATAACTTAGGGAGGACCACAGTGAGTGCTTCGGATTGGTTGGAACCGAAATCTGCTTTCTGATTGTAATGTCACTCATGCCTGATAACTTGAGTTATCTCGTTTTGTGATCATTCGGTGTGTCGGATTGTTCATTGTAGAAAGTGGCAGTAGTAGTCGGTGTATCCGACATATGTATATATATCGCTTTATCGTTGAAGTTTGTGATTGAGTAGGCAGTTTAAGCAGATCAAATGAAAAACCAAATGGAGCTGTACCCGCTAGTGCACATCTTGTGAGCAGGAAATCGATTAGTCGCTGTAGTGATTACTTCAAAGAACCCTTATAGTGTAGGATTTGAATCCCTGCAGGCGGGTTTAAAAAAACCGAAATACCGCAGTGCTGCCACTTGCGAGCTGCGCCGGGTTTGCTGTGTTTACCATTTGCGTCGGCTAATTGCCCCGCTAAGGTATTCCTGCGTGATGAACTACTGTACTTACGGATGAAAATCGAAATGATGTGGAATGTTCTTTGGACCTCCGGTTGTGACTACATCTATCGATCTTCATGCTAGAGACATCGACGTAGCTAAGACAGGTCTTTACCACTCGGGAATTTTGGGTTTTTTGCCCTTGAAAGGTTATTTTCTCTGTCCTGATCTCTGGCTTGGATGTCCTCTGGCTTTGGTTTGAGCGGTTATAGTGGGTCCGCGCCAGCGGTGTAAATAGTCCAGGTGTCGGCAATTGTTAATTTTTTTGTTGGTTTTGATTATTTCTTAAGATTGTCACAATCAAAACAAAGATAACAATCTAGACCTCTTTTACAGATAGGAGTCTGTCGTCTTCTATTTTCTCCACCTATGCGTGTTTTTCTTCTACGTGTGACACCTCGAGGACTGGTTTTTCCGGCTTGGCGACATCGCGTTCTTCGTGTAGCACTCTCACTTGTAGGTCTTTGTAACGCCCCAAGATTGTTTTTGTCGTCAAATGACTTAACTCGTTGACAGGACGACGTTTGAACCGTCATGCTTACGTGACTCTTTTGATGGAAAAAAAAAAGAAAATTAATCATATGGCTTGCAGTATGCTAGAACAATTTGCGATTATTTACTTGATTCCTTGTCATGTGTACACACGTTGGTTTCAGTTCGAATCGGATAAGAGTGGAGCCTTGGCGGGTAACGGTGGAGGTTAGGTGATAACGGTTCTAGTTTGAGATTATAGTCGGGGCGAACTCAAATAACTTTCAGTCCTTTGATTTGAGTTGGACTGGACTTGATGTGAAGTTTCGTGTTTGCCAAAGGGGGAAACTCAAATAACTTTCAGTTTTTTGAGTTGAGTTGGACTTAATTCACTCGAAGAACTAATACAAATGATACAAATGTGTGTGTAGGGTGTATGACCAATAGTCTGTCCTACAGAAGCCAACTGGTCGAGAAATAGACAAAATTTGGTGATATGTTTCGCCATAGACTCGACTCTCTTCATTTTGAAAGTATGCAATGTATCTTTTAAGTGCATTTGCATCGGTATGTCATGGGATTCAAAAACTGTATTTAGTTCGTCCCAGTCCTCTGCTGCTGCTGTAGAATAGCGAGCAATCATTGGATGTTGATGATCCTCCATCGAGTTACTCAACATCGCCAAGGAAATGAGGTTTTTATCATCCCAATCTTTTTTACTCCCTGCTCATGACGTAGTCCAACGAGTTATTCAACATTGCCAAGGAAATGAGGTTTTAATCATCCCAATCTTTCATACTCCCTGCTCATGACGTAGTCCAACGAGTTACTCAACATCGCCAAAGAAATGAGGTTTTTATCATCCCAATCTTTCATACTCCCTGCTCATGACGTAGATGGACGGGTTGTAGAATTAGGTGGAGTGGTTGGGCGGAGCTCTTTACCTTCCAATCTTCTTTGTTTATGCGACTATCAGTTTAGTAATGGCTCGGGTAGAAATGCTCAAATCTAACTTCCATCTAAGAATGGTAACACTAATGTAGTTCCTGTTGCGCATCCTTAGGAATGTTGTTGACTTGGCAACCAAGGATTACGTTATCTAGTTCTCAAGGCAACACTGTTAAAGGGTTTCCAGCAGGTATTCAAATTGGTAGAACCTTACTCTCTCAGACCAGGTGCGAAGTGTAAAACCTATTGCTAGTACCAGTGAAGCCCATGTAAGATAGACCCTTCTCATTGAATTTGGACATTGGAAGCGAAAGGGGGTCTGATAATAGGGCAGCTCTTACTAAAGACCGCTCGATGAGATTATCGTGACATCTATAGGAATTGGATGACTACTGTACTACATTTCGTTGGTGTGCAGTAGTCGACCAGTGAGTGTGTCGAACCTTCCATCGACACGAGGGACCATATTACTCGCCATATAGCTTCCAAGTGAAAATATTTCGTCCGAAGGCAGTCGTATCCTTAAATACCTTGAATCATTTGCAACTCTTGTTCGTCCTTGTCTCCTAGTCCTAGCGAGTTGAAGATTTGTACCAAACCGTACATAACGTTTTGACATGAAAGTTGAGCCCAATCCCAGTTAGAACGCCTAATCGTCTGGTGTCATGTGGCCGGCTCTCATTGTCCGCTTCTGTTGTCGTACGTCCTCATAAGGATATTCCAACAAAGTGTTCCGACACTTCGTGTTAGAGGTGCTAATTTTAAGGCCGCCAATCTCGTGATTCGACTGTCGTTCCCGGTTATGATCACAGTACTTTTGCCTGCGTACGTGCGCATCTTCTCATGAGCCATCTCAAGGGCAGTTTGACGAGTAATGCATTTTGAGGAGATGAGAGTTACTGCTCCTTTCTGATTGGAGCTATTTTTGTGGAAGTCGTTCTGCCAGATCAGATGCCTATATGTGTTCATCCTCTCATGCAGTATACATTTTCTTCTGGGCATATTTTCATTATTCTGGTCATTGTCCGATCAATTGTCTGCGAATGGGTCATCAACGGTGGCGCAGATTGTATGAGATTAGTACAAGCGGGACTTTCCCAAGATCGTAGTGTGTGCGGGTAGTCCATCGTTGGGATGCGTTTTGTGTGAGATTAGTAGCGCTGCATTCTCGAAGAGTGAGCTTGGATTTATTCTTTGTCTAGTTGACGATCCAGTAATATTCAGGTGTCGCTTTTTTGTTGAACCGCATGTTCCGCCATGCAGGTTCTTTTACGAACAAGAATCTGACCAAGGCAGTTTATTTTCGCAGATGCGCTTCTATTGTCTAAATAACAGGGGAGGGGGTGCGTCACTTATGGCTAAAGCCGCGATGCAGTCTCATGCTGCTGCTCTTCATTCACTGGCCGTGATCCAGTTCAATGGAAGCGGGGGTACGCGGAAAGACAAAGATTTGAAGGCCGGCGTTGCTCTTTGCGTAAGGGCAGCTACTCTTGGCCATGTGGACGCCATGAGAGAGCTTGGTCATTGCTTGCAAGACGGATATGGAGTGCTAAGAAATCCATACGAAGGACGACGTCTTTTACTTGAGGCCAATGCTAGAGAAGCTGCAGCCGCCGTCGTAGCTAACGCCCCTAGGCTTATGGAAACCGCATTTCAGTTAAGTCCTTGTTCCACAGTATTGTGCCCTGAGGGCCACATGACAACATCAAGTTCGATGCATAACAGCTTCGTCGAACTTGGACAAAGAGCTGTGTTAGATCATGCACGGTCCCAGTTAAGGGAAGGTTTAGATCGTACACACGTCTACAAACTTCTGCAGGGAGGAGGTAGTTGCTCGCTGCTAAGTGATTTTGGTTGTACTGTTCCGCCACCCAAGTTACATATTGCAAACAAGTTTCTCGTTGATTGGTTCGACATTAATCCTCCGGCATCTGGCCTACGCCTGTGCTCTCATGGAAATTGCGGACGTCCAGAAACAAGGAGACACGAGTTTAGACGCTGCTCTGCCTGCGGCTGCGTAAACTATTGTTCCCGGGCTTGCCAAGCGTTGGATTGGAAAATTCGGCACAAATATGATTGTCAGCCTGTGGCAGATTGGGGAGATCGCGAGGATCCAGATCAAGGAGCAGAAGAGGATGAGCAAGTCGTATATGAAGATATGGATGATTCATGAAGTGAAGAGTTTATAAAGAGGTTCGTTTGGATAGAACCGGATGGTAGACTAGATTGACCTTCCGAGGACTTAACAGAAGAGAGATTTTTCTTCCTGTATGTGTCGCATGTGGAGAATCAGTCCTACTGCTCTCGAATTTCTGCCATAGATCGTCCTTCTCCTATTTTGTTGCACATCGTCATCTTTGTTCATCATCACCGAAGATAGTCAACATCGAAGATCAATGGTGAGATCTTGTAAGTCCATTCAGTACGAGCCATCGAGTTGAGGAAGGGTTGTTGGGCTTTGCGGTGATTGGTTGATGCGTTTATGAGCATTGTTCCATGTTTTTGGGGACGTCGGAGGATGGAGGAGATGGACTTACATTTTTGCTAGTCCGCTGTATCACTGACTCGCATTGGATTGCCGCCTTAGACAGGTTCGTAGAGCTGGGGCAGTGGTCACCGGGAAAGAAACATCGATGCAGCCATTATCTTAGTAAAATTCCATGTTGGGCCAAAAGCAGCTCTTGCGTTTTTTTCATCCTTATGGTGTTGTACCGTTAGAGAGCACTGGTTTTGGAGGCCTTAGTCATGTTTAGCATTTGGGGCTAGACAAGATATATGGCATACGCCGTGGAGCTTCTCTCCCTTTTGGGCAGGTAGTTTCCAATCCTTGCCAGCCTTGGACGTGTCTCCGAAGAGTGTCTCGGAGACAGCTTCAAATAAACAGAGAGGCCTTTCTATTTAGGTTAAGACGTTAGTATACTGATATTCATGTACTAACAACCTTTAGTCAAGCTGGCATACAATTGACGTACGTGAATTATGTATGTTGAATATGCTTTGGATAAAATTGTATAGAGAAACACTAAAGTCGAATGTTCATTCAAAGTTTATTCAAAGTTATGTACTGTTTCCCGTTCTCACTTTTCTCAGGATACACTCTTGAGTCAGTTTTACTTCTTGATGAAAGTCAATGGATGCCCAAGTTATGCATCTGTTCCTTGTTCACAATTTTCTCCAAATTCTCTCACGGACCTTGATCATAGGACGAGTTTTTTCTCAAAATACTCGTCAGTGAGTTTTACCTCATGATGAGCATCATCCAGCGGATTACGTAGCGCGAAAGAAACAATTTAGTAAGTTAGTTTGAGATGGCCTTCTTTAGCGCCATTTTGCATCCGGAACTCGTTGACAATACTAGCAACGTGAGCAACTAGCAACGTTAGCAACGAAATTGAAAATCTCTTGATTATTCAAGAACCACAGGAAAGAAAAAGCACTTCGAAACCACTAGATTTAGAAGAGCAGGTCTGAAACGTGGGAGCGTCGTGTGCGCTGCTTTCACAGACTGTACCTCTAACAGAGACAGGCCTTAAACCTCAACACACGATATTGGGCTGATGTGTGCTCTGCTTTCAAAGACTGTACCCCTAACAGAGACAGGCGTTAACCTCAACACACGATATTGGGCTCCTCCTCGAACCTTCTCTGATTTCTAAATCAAACTGTAGCATGTGTGCTCTGCTTTCACGGACTGTACCTCTAACAGAGACAGTCCTTAAACCTCAACACACGAGATTGGGCTCCTCCTCGAACCTTCTCTGATTTTTAAATCAAACGATATTTAATTCTTAGCATTCTACTCTGAGAACCATTACTCGTTGTCAATCTCACACTGCACCGTCATTCGTTGACGATGAATCTCACACTGCACCGGTCGAGTCTAGTCTGTACAGATACTTGTTCCAGATTCTAAACCCAGAATATATTCCTTTATGCAATAATTCTTAATATTTTGATTGCATGTGGTTTGCATCCGGTTCTATCGTCTAGCGGTTATGACGATGAATCTCACACTGCACCGGTCGAGTCTAGTCTGTACAGAAACGTGTTCCAGATTTTAAACGCAGAATTCATTCCTTTTTGTACTAGTTGTTATTATCTTGATTGCAAGTGGTGTGCATCCGGTTCCATGGTCTAGCGGTTATGACACTGGACTCTGAATCCAGTAGCCCGAGTTCAATTCTCGGTGGAACCTTTTTTTCCTCTCATTGACTGGATTCGGGGCGGAACCTGTTTTGCCTGTTTTGCCTCTCATTGACTGGATTCGTGGCGGAAACTGTTTTGACTGTTTTGCCTGTCATTGATTGGATTCGGGGCGAAAACGTGCTGATAATCCTTGATGTCTTTAGAAAAATTAAGCAGTTTGTTTTGGACTAAACCCGTTGGATTTGGACAAATTGCAGGTTACAAAATTGAAGAAAATACATTAAACGGGCTACAAAGCAATCTGGTCTAAACGATCTTCAACTTGGAAATATTAAAAGTACAACATTGCGCATCCTCTCGCTCATCAAATTAGAGCTACTGCGGTTCTCCCACGATTCGCGAACAGAGAGATGCCCACTCCAATCAAGTAGTGATCGAGAGAAACCGGCAAGTTGAAGAAAAATTCATACCTGTATCTCTAGCCGAAGAGTATTGATTTGGCTATCTTCACCAATAATGGTCCATCGCCTGACACAGGTTCTATTGAGCAAGCATGTATTCTCCGACCCCAGTAATCATCACGGATTACACTCCGTTCTCTCTGAGCGTGGTTGGCAAGAGACTGAAAGTCACGCACTCAACATTTCAGAAGACACAGAGGAATATGGTGGAGTTGTGGTGAATATATGAACACCATTCTGTAATCTCACCCACCAGATGTTCGATCTTATATTTTGAAACTTCGAGAGGTTTTCCAGTAGCGGGGAAATCCGGATTGTACTGACATCGGACGAGGCATAAGACCCTCCTGGTCTGTAGATGACGTCGACTCTGCCACCTTCCCGTTTCTCCATGCTCCCTGGCATTTCCACTCATACATCTATAAAAGACGGTATCTCATTTGATGTTCCTTTGCGTGACATTTGTGATGAGTCCCAACCATTGAACCCCTGTCCAGCCGAAGAGTATTTTCTCTATATGGAGATCGAGAGAAAATTTGAGAAGCAAGACACTTCAAAATTTAAAGCTTCGAATATCCCAGAATCTACAACTTCGCAAACTGGTTTGGTCCAAATCCAAGTGCTGAATTTTGGAAAGCCATCACTTCAACTTGCGAAGATTATCAACCGTTTTCGCCCCAAACTAGCCAATGAGAAGCAAGACACTTCAAATAAATCAACTTTTTGAAGACTCCCAAACATTTGTTACGAGGCTCCCGCGTGATTGTAAACTGCTTATCTGCTGATGTCACGCAAAAATGCTTCTCTCAAATGATCTGCGTTTTCGACAAACGGGAAATGACCTCCAACCGAGACATGAGTGAGAACGACGACTATTGCACTTCAGAGTTGGGTGGGCAGAAACTAGCCCAGACACCTCTCAAAATCACTGCTCTTTTGCGTCCACTTAAAATCAGAGCCTTCGCTTTATTGCCTGCGAAAACTTCAAGGTTGAAAGCCTCAACGAACGATCGTATACAATTTGGAATTCAGATTTGGATTGAATGTTCAAGCCGAGCTCCAAGCTGTTGCTGTGGTCTTCTCGGCTTGGCAAATTTCATGTGGTCTCTCTCATTCTCCGAGCAGTTCCCGAATGTCTTGCTGGGATTTGGATTTTCGTACTGCTTGACATGATTGAATGGACTTGAGAATATTGGGTACGTCGCCATCGACCATGACTCACGATTAGGCAGTACGAGCAGCCTCTAGATCCGTCTGACTCTGCGGTCAGATTTAGAGTCTCAAACTAGATACTTCACAGAACCTTATAACGTATAACAGCGTTTGGAGATGTGGGTGTCAATGATGGTTCAACTCATGTCACGTGTCAATGACGAGGTTCAACTCAAAATCATTGAGCGTGATCTCTACGCGCAGGACTTTCAGTCTCTAACCAACGACGCTCAAATCCACCACGTTCACAGACAACGGAGTGTAATCCGTGATGATTAATGGGGTCGGAGAATACATGCCTGCCCAATAGATCAATTAATAGAATGAGAAGGTTACGATTACTATAGCCAGGCGAGTTGCTGGTGACACAACAACGACCTGTTGTGCGTTCTTCTCAGATTATGTTTATTTGTAGCTCGAAGCTCATAGTTTGGTTGTTGATGAAGAATCTTCATTGCTGCAACCATCTGACACTTACTACATGCACCACGCGGTTTGACACTCACATCTCCAAACACTGTTACATTATATACGTCTATTATGATACTCTAAATTTGACCGCAGAGGCAAACGGATTTAGAGGCTGCTCGTACCGCCTGGTCGTGAGCCCTGGCCGATGGCGATGTACCCAGTATTCTCAGATCCATTCAATCATGTCAAGCAGTACAAAAACTCAGATCTCAGGACATTTGGGAACTGCTAGGAGAAGGAGAGAGACCACATGGAGTTTGCCGAGGAACTGCCGAGGAACGAGAGACCACAAGAACACCTTGGATCTCGGCTTGGACATTCGATCCAAATCCGAATCCCAAAGTCAATGGTGCTAACTGCCCACGATTGTTGAGTATTTCAAGCTTCAATAAAGCGTAGGCTCAGATTTCAGTCCGCGTAATTGGAGCGGTAAGAGCAGTGATTTGATGAGATGTTTTGGCTAGTTTCTGCCCACCCACCACGCGTTTGACACCCACATCTTCAAACACTGCTACGTTATAACCTTCTGTGAAGTATCTAGTTCGAGACTCTAAATTTAACCGCAAAGGCAGACAAATCTAGAGGTTGCTCGTACCGGCTAATCGTGAGCCCTGGCCGATGGCGATATACCAAGTATTCTCAAGTTCATTCAATTCGTTCAAGCAGTACGAAAACTCAAATTCCATGACATTTGGGAATTGTTGGGAGAAGGAGAGAGACCACATGGAGTTTGCCGAGCCCAGAAGATCACAACAACAGCTTGAATCTCGGTTTGAGCATTTGATCCAAATATGAATCCCAACGTCAACGGTGCAAACTGCATACAATCGTTTGTTGAGGCTTTCAAGCTTGAAGTTTCCGCAGGCAATAAAGCGCAGGCTTTGGTTTCAGTCCGCGTAAGTGCAAGCGAAAGAGCACTGATTTGGTGAGGTGCATGGGCTAGTTTCTGCCCATCCAACTCTGAAGTGCAGTAGTCGTTGTTCTCACTCATGTCTTGGTTGGAGGTTGTTTCTCGTTTGTCGAACATGCAGATCATCTGAAAAAAGCAATTCTGCGTGACATCAACAGATGAGCAGTTTACAAGCACGCATGAGACTAGTATCAAATGTTTGAGAGTCTTCAAAAATTTGATTCCTTTGAGTTGTCTTGCTTCTCATTGGTTGGTTTGGGGTTGAAAACTGCTGATAATACTCGCAAGTTGAAGTGATGGCTTTCCAAAATTCAACAGTTGGATTTGGACCAAATCCGTTGGCAAAGCTGTAGATTCTGGGATATTCGAAGTTTGAAATTTTTAAGTGTCTTGCTTCTCATTGGCCGGTTTGGGGCGGAAATCTATTGATAATACTCGCAAGTTGAAGTGATGACTTTCCAAAATTCAACAGTTGGATTTGAACCAAACCCGTTGGTAAAGTGGTAGATTCTGGGATATTTGACGTTTGAAATTTTGAAGTGTCTTGCTTCTCATTGGTTGGTTTGGTGCGAAATCCTGTTGATAATCCTCGCAAGTTGAAGCGTTGGCATTTCAAAATTTTAACACTTGTATATAGAATAAACCAGTTTGCAAACGGGTTTAGGCCATGTGGTATGATACAGCTTGCTAAAAAAAAAAATCAGGACCACAATGTCACACCAATTCATTTTCAATCATTTTGCATTGTATGGATCAAAATTCCTATAACCAACAAAAAAATTTCAATTCACACACAAACAAACGTAAGAATTTGTTGACAAGGTTGAGCTCAAAAGCCTAGTCCCCGCAAACTACTCAATGAAGTTAGTTCGAGTATATATCAAAGATTAAAAATTTGTTGATGAGGTTCAACTCAAAAGCCTAGTCCTCGCAAACTCCTCAATGAATGTAGTTCAAGTATATATCCAAGATTAAGAATTTGTTGATGAGGTTCAGCTCGAAAGCATAGTCGCCGAAAAATCCTCAATGAAGGTAGTTTGAGTATATATTCAAGATCAATGTCTTTGAACTTGACTGTCATTACAAGATTTAAGTTCGGTGAGAAAATAAAACACAAAAAAAAATACACACAAAAACAATCACTCATGTTTCTCGAGCAAGAATAACACTTCATAACATATGATTCTCTCTCAATGTGTCTACTAATTCTCACTCTCAACCTTTCTTGAAATCCCCTCACTGTAATACATTCTTTAATCCTTTGATTGACTTTATATCATACTTACTTATAACGGTTCCTTACAACGGTAAAATATCAGATCAAATTAAATCTGTCAATTCCTATATAGTCCATAGTATATTGACTCTTCAGCAAACTATTACTAAGCTATAAAAATGACAAAAATTCTAAAAGAAAAACTACATGTAACTGAAGCTTATATCTCACATGCATCAATAGTACAATGTGTCACTGACTCATTCTCAGACAGTAATTCATTCATAGACATTATGTAGTTGTTTAAAATTCAAAGTGAAGATTCATGATTGAATCAATCCATTGATAGAAAGTCATGACAAAAATGTGACACAATTCATTATCAGACACCATTTCTTTCTCACCATCAAATATGAGGTTCAATTGAAGTATCATGATTGAATTACGACATTCACTGAAGAAATGTGAGTTACTAGCTATCTATTCTACGGTGTTTATTGAAAAACTATTTGATAATTTTGGCAAATCTAGATGTGAAACTTGAGCAAAGAACCATTTCTTATACAAGTATGTTTCTCACTTAGTCACAAAAACCTCATATCTAACATGAGGATTGTTTGCATGTAGAACTTGAGGTATTGTCAAGTCTGCTTATAAGTCCTTGCTACATTCATTCCAGTTGAAGCTTTCGAATCAATGTTATTTGTATCTAGAGAAGTAAGTTCGGGGTACGACGCATGACATGAACGTACCAAAAAAACGTTAAAAGAATATATACTTTCTTGTACCCATGCATGTTATATATGTTCTTTCTTTTTGCAGGATCTGGATATCAATTTGTAGTTATTGACATTTATACAGCCTCCTTAAAAGTGGTAATTTGAAATTTTTTTACCACTTTTAAGGCTTACTACTTTACCACTTTTAAGAAGTTACACAATGGAGTATCTCGAAGGTTGCGATCTTGTAGAACCTCTCCAAGGCATATGAGACAAAGAGCGGCATCCGCGTCATTATCAAAAAGTACGATCACACCACGTAGTTCTGTAAGATCGGTTATTGCATGTGTGAAATAAATCTAGAATTAGCCAAGGAGTTAATCATGGTTAGGATAGTTATGACTAAATCTAGCTAGTTATGACTAAGTCTAGCTAGTTTAGCTATAATGTCTATACATGGCGGAATAACTAGAGAAGTTTTAGAAAGATTTGAGTGAGCACTTCTATTTTGTCTTGTACAAAAGTCTAGATTCCAAGAGAAAATACTTTTTGACTTCATGTTTAGTTTTGATTGATTTGATTAAGTAAGGAGAACTCCATTGGCTAGACTAAATCTTATGTTGACTTAGTGGAAAGTGGAAGTTCTAGAAGTTGGAAAGGCACAAATAGCATGTCGCCACCTTAATCTAGAGATTAGTAAACATCTAGAAGGTTTAGGAGGCCAATGGCATGCTGCCACATACTGATAACTAGTCAACCTTACTATGATTTATCTTTATAAAAGTAAGTTAGATAGAAATTATCATTTGTTATATAGTTTCAGTAGTATATATAAAGAGGTAGGGAATAGCCTCTCAAGCAAGTTTGGAGAGTTCATATGTAGGGACTTATTTCATATATGAAAGAGTGACGAATTTTCAGTACCTTGGAGTATCGATGTGTGTGTGAGTTTGAGTGATAACTTGAGAGATTGTGTGAAAGGGTGCTTGTGCTATGAGTATGAAGAGAAATCCTAGTCTTCTAGAACCATGATGAGCTATCGAAAAGCCATCGGAGGTAATCCTGAGTGAGAGTCAGCCCGGAGGTTACAGTTCAACAACGCTTGGAACGACATAGATGGCGATCGATTTCATCATCTACGTCACTTCTATGGCGGGCTTGCCAGTATGTTCGTTAACAGCATGTCAGTCGAGTCTCACTTCTCTGTACTCAAATGGGAACAGGACAAATTCTGCACTAATTTGCAGGACTTGTCGCTAGAGTACATCTTCTAGAGCAAGTTGTGAGCAATTCGGCCATTTGACCATCGAATAGCTCAAGAAAGTCTCTTTATCACTTTTAAGGGTCAAAACCACTTTTAAGATTGAGGTTGGTATCACTTTTAAGCTAAAAGTGCTAAAAGTCGTGCATTACCACCTTTAGTAAAGCCTGCATTTATAACATTGATCCAGAGTATGTTCAAAGACGTTAGCAACACTTAGTTGAACTTCATCGGATTATTTGATCTCTTTAAGGTTTTGTAGTTAAAACAACTTTTAGGCCGTGATGAAATAGGAAAATATGACTGTAAACATTTATTGAGAGATGTATCTGTATAAGGTCAAATGTGATGGAATGATATTTATACGCATATTTTGTTCCATCATGATCTTGAAGTTGTTTTGATACTAAGAGCTTGAAAGGAATTATAAATCAAGGCAATGTGAATTATCTAGATCTTGAAGTTGGCTTGAACAAACTATATTTCAGAGTCAGATAACAAATAGATTTCTAAAATCAGCCAAAAAGAAGTATATGTGTGACAGATGGTTAGAAGAAAGTTTATACTCTTTCCAGTTTGCTTGCAACGTTCATGTCAATCTCCGAAATCTAATCTTACAAATTATTCTTCTTGATACAAATAACAACTATTCAAAAGCTTGACAATCAATTGAGTTCATGTTTTCAAGAGCACTAATCCATCTAGAATGAATGTAGCAAAGATTGATGTTTAAATTTTTACAATATCTCAAGTTCAAAATATGTGCAAACCTCATGTTAGATATGAAATTCTTGCAAGAAGCATGAGTATAATAAGAACTGATATATAACTTCTCCATACTTTGCCCAAATGTCATTTTCAAAATTGCCAAAGCTATTAAACTATTGTCAATAAACATTGTAGCTCACATGTCTTCACTAAATGTTCTCCAAATGTAGTTACTGAATCATGACACTTTGATTAAACCTCATTCTTGGTGTAGAATATTTGAGAATGTATTGGTGCCACATCGTCATCTTGATTTCACATGTCATTTGTGCATTATATAGCTTTCTTTTTCTCCAAGGCTAAAGCGCCATCCCCTCTATTTGCGTTTAAGCTTGGCAACAAAGAAAACTATTTAGTGAACTTCATATTGGATATGAGAATCTTGTGATTTTGGTGAGAATGCAATATATTTTATCATGGTTTCACAAATTTGATTTAAGAGATAGGAGAAAATGATAATTCTGATATGCAAGATTATTTTTGTATAGATTGTAAAAATATACTCATCACATTTGAACACTCAATTAGTCTAGATTGAATTATGGTTGAAAGAACTATTTTACAAATATCAAGAAGAAGATATCAAGTTTTGATTTAGAAATTTGAATCTATATACTTTACAATTTGTTATTTGTCTGGTACTATCTTAGTAAGATGCATAGGACTTGTTGACCATGATAAAGTTGCAAAGTTTGTGGGTGCATGTTATACTCATAGATAAGAGATGCTTTTCGATATGAGTATGGATAAGCTTCTATTAGGCTATGTAGACCGTTCAACTCTAGACACTGACTTTCAAATTTAAGTACAAGAATGTCTAAGAGATTTTACTTTGCATATATTCGAATATATATAATGTAAGGCTGTTAAATATGACCTTTCGGTTCTCTATGAAAGTGCTAGTTGATGCAATTTTTAAAATGATATCTAATATAATTTTTTTGTTTGTAGATGGTTTGGTTATCTTCTTTGATGTATGTAATAGATCCATTAGCGCCTAGTTTCATGTTACAAGTTAGTGGGCGTAGCAGGTGATGATGTCTTCCTGTCCTTTAGTTAGTTTGTTTTGTTTACGTTACTATACTAACCTTAAAATGAATTTGGAAGACATTTATAATTTAGTAGCTCTGGAATCCACATCTTTTTCTGAATGTGGGTTCCATATCTAACAAAGTCAGTTTAGCTCTCAACTTTTTTAGTTAAGACTAGATACTATATCTAAAATAGGGAGGAAAAAGGAGTTCTTTGTTCTTTTCTCCCTTCAATCATCATGATTCGCATTATAATAAGTTCACCTTGCCGATGTTTTCAGTGAAGCAGTCGTCAGAATTCTTCATTGACTCTTCATTCTAGCTGAAAATTTTTGAACTAATCTGTCGTTTATTTCTTCCTGCTTTTTCGCTTGATTTCCATCTACTTGTCTGCTCTTCTATTCCTCTACTCTAATTTCCAGCATCCTATCACTTGGTTACTTCAATTGAATCAATTCAATATCAGGATTTTCAAGTTTTTAGATTCCGCTAAAAATATAAGCTTTTCTCTGAATTGATTTCAGTCCATAAAGTTTTAAGTCCAAATCTTAAGCATAAGTGCAAGAAAACCACCTTCAACATAGACAATTTTGACTTGTATCTTGATATGTGTTAACTAAACATGCACTTGTAAGTTTCCTACAGCACATAAGATAGTTAACTCATCTGGAACCATGCCCAGAAAGGGACGCCCCCACGAACCAACGCCAGGCATTTTTAATGCAGATATACGCACCACTTTTGCGGTGAATTTTGCATGAACTATGTCCAAGTGCTATATTGCATAAAGTATCGCAAAGCCTATCAAAGCTCGAAAGAATGAAATGATCGATTCTTGGATCTGTCCAAAGGTAGATAAAAGGGTGTACGCAAAACAATAAGAGATACATCTTGCAAGGGAGAAAGAAACTGCCATCTACACTGGGCGATCGTTCACAGAGTAAGACGTTAAGTGTTTAATCATGTCCGTTCTGGCTTTGAAACAGGCTTCAAGAATAAAATTAATACAGCCCACATTGGTGCACGAGTGTATAGTGGGAAACATGTTGATGCATGATCGGCCTTCGAGTCGCATATGCATCTCCAATTCAATCTGACTCAAACTCCAAATAGGTGTGTCCGTGGTATCAAGGGTCGAGTGGTGCTAAGACCAACCTTTTCATCTCCTTTTGTACCTTGGTATCCACCAGTGACCTCGTTTGGATAGCCAAATTCCGGAGGCGGGATGGGCGCCCTGAGGTCTTCTTGTTCGAGTATATACAAAATAGGAGGAAAAGGCTTTGGCGGCGGTATATCAACCTGTACGAATGACCATGTTAACTTTTTGTTGGAACATTGGAGCAATTTTAGTTTCGAAGCTATATCGGTGAGTACATACATGGCCAGTCGGTGAGTACATACATGTCTGGCTAGTCACAATTATATGTGTCTGCTGTTCAGCAAGCCAAGCCTGGCAGCTATAGTAAATAAAATGGTTGCTTCTAAATTTTGATATAAGACGCAGCAAACTGTATTCATAGTGTTCTGGTGAAAATTCAAGCCGGTGCACTCCAGAAGATAATAACTTCGTTAGATGATGGTTTTTCAAATGCTTGTGTAATATCTACAGTTAGATAGTTATGAATGTATTATATACAACATGAAATATCTCTGACGAGATACAACATGACACCTTGTGACTTGAGCCGACTCCATCTTACTCACAACCTTTTTACTATATTATTTTTACCTCTCAAGGTTTGTAAAGTAACAAAAATTAGAGAAAGTCCACTTGCAGCCTTCCTCAGTGTTATTTTCGTACATTTGACGTCCGGTGCTCTTGCCCATGTTTCATCTTATTTAAAGAACACGAGAAGGGCAAAGTTAATTTGTACCTTCAAGGGTCCTTTTTCCAAATCTTCAAGCTTCGGACAGTATAGTTCAAGAGTGACGAGCTGCTTGCAGTCCAAGATGTTCAAGTGACTCATTTCATCACTCCAAACCATTAGAGTTTCAAGTACCGGGCAGGTTTTCAAGACGAGCTCTTTCAAAGTTTTCGTTTCCAACAACACTTTCTTCAGCATCATGGACCGTGACAAGACCAGCTTTTCCAGCGAATGTGACTGCAATCACCTTATGCAGCGCGGAAACATAAGTGGCACATCAGAAAGTTGTTTCTATGGCTTCCTCGTCCACTAGTTTCGCTTGAGCTTCTTCGAAATCCCATTCAATAGATTGTCTACTTGAAGCATTACTGCAGATAGAGAGAAGGCTAAAATTTGCATAGAATTCTAAATAAACAAATCTCCTGATGCTTCTTGGGTTCAAAAGAGTTTGTTCAAATGAGGACGGGGAAGCTTGCCTGACGAATTTATACACACCTGAATCATCACAAAGCTCAAGTATTGACAACAAGAAATGTCGATATAGGTTATTGATAGAGCGACAGCCGGTGGGGACAGGACAAACTTGGTGAGCAACTTAGATCCTCGAATATCCATGTGAACCTGCGAGGAACCTTTTCCCTAAACTTTTTAGCACAGGAAGGTGGCATCATGTACAATGCTGAAGGTTTATTTGTAGAATTGAATTAGGAAAACTAAGTTCTCGTTTAAAACCATCAACCACCATTAGTTCAAGGTACAAAAACAGCTCCGTGGGGTTAGACTGCCATCTTTAATTTCACACCATATCAGTTCAACTGACTGTAGTCGACCTTTTGTGGTGCGACATGTCCCTAAACCAATCAGTGATACACATATGGTCGAGTTCGAGATTGGGTTGCGCGTATTCGGAGCTCACCAAACGGGGCCGAGGAACTGCAAACAGCTCATCAATAAACTTGTCGCCCAAATTTTCACTCCATATGATTGTGAGCTGCAGTCCAGGTCACTATCATATGCTTAGAATTCGTATGCTTAGAAATCGCGTGTAAATATGCATGAAGGGCAAGGATCTCAGCAAAGTCGTTGTTACCTTCACCAAAGCGGCGAACATCTTCTCTCGAATTTCTCCCCAAGTAGGCCACCTTTCAATGGAAGGTAGGGATTCAAGCGGTCTCTCCCACTTCCCGTTCTCAATAGTCTACCAAACACCCAAGAAAACAGAGGAGTAATCTCAAATGAGCGTCTCACATCACAGTACCAGGTGTTTGTGATCTCTGGATTACTTTCAGTTTACATTGTTCTTTCTGATCCAATCTGAACCTTTTGAATTCAGCCAAAGTTTCATGGAGGCGACAGTTGGACACACTGTCACGGATCTTGTGGGCTCCTTAGTCAACACGTGTTCTATAAAAACTACCAATACAGTTTCGATGAAACCAAAATTTAAAAATACAGAGGAGTATTTGCGAATGAAAGTCTCACATCAGGGTGCCAGTATTTGCTACTGAGAGTCTTAAATCAGGGTGCCAGGTGTTTGTGATGTCTGGGTTTACATTCAGTTCAGATTATTCTTTCTGATCTACCCTTCTGACTTCAACCAAAGTTTTATGGCAGGACAGTTGGACACACAGTGGGCTCCGTGCTCACCACTGGTTCAAAACTTCAAAACTTAAGATTTGAGGTAGGATTGTGTTGGGAAAAGGAGTGTGTTTCAACCTACCTCTGCATCCCCCGACTGCACCAAAGAAGGTGCAAGACACTGATGCGAAGTAACAGTACTAGACAGTGCATGGAAATGTAGTATGAAGATCACAGTTGTCACCTTTTTCCACCCTGAGTCATGTTTGGGCTCTTTCGGTTTCTTTTTCTTCTTCTTTCCCTTCTTTTTCGGGGGCATTTTTTAAGACTTTCCCACGACTTCAGTTGCCAACCTTTGACATTGAGGGCGAAACCGGTCCTTGAAGGAGGCTACCACATTTTTCTCCTGGCAGTAAATATGTTCCAAGTTTTCCGCCAATCCTGCATCCTTTGAAAAGCAGGTATTAGTGAAAGAGCTGAATTCAGCACGTTCCCAGGATCAAGCAAGTTATAACGCAAGAGCTGAAAGTTTTTGCTAGTGAGAGCTACATGGCGGCTGTCCCGCACTTCAGATTCCTGTGACAACTTTTGAGTTCACGTTTTCTACTGGCATTTGACGTTGCGAATTCGTCGACATTCGTCTTATGAAGGACACGCTGAAAAGTTTGAAAGCAGAGAGTTATCATTTGCCCGGGGCTAGTGCTCTGTAAGGACTGCAGAGGGGCCTTGACAAGCCGGACAGTGCCCGTCCTCGAGACTCTCGACTGTCTGAGAGCACTGTAACCAAAAAAAATCCGAACGCTATGCATTCCGCGAGGATCACAGAACCTGCTGCGTCTGCACGTCTCTTCTAGAAAATGTCTACACATTCAAATGGACGGATGCTGTAGCCTGGAGGATAAACAGAGTTTTGTTGCGGTAACTAGCACTTGCTTCTATCCGACGCTTCTTTACGACTTCTTCAGGACTTTCTCGATGATCCGGGGGTCATGTTTCCAGAGCTGGCCTCTCCTCGTGTCAAGGAAGAAGCATATTTGTTGGCTGCAGCCGCCGTTCGCCCTCTGCTCTTTATAATGCAAGTCGCTGACATTGATTCGAGTTCTCAATCCGAACACAGCTTGTTTCCACTGTGGCCGAAGAACTGATCCCAGTAAACAGGAATTCCTTTCTGGACTCCTCTAGACCGTCACGGTAAGCCAGTACGACTCTGCCATAGCCACCACGCTGTGGGCATTGCCAGGAGGTCGCCAAGGCAGAGCCTGTGTCTTAGTAAGAAACCTTAGATTTCCATATGGCCGAATGTCAGGAGAATACCAGAACGCAGCAGGGGATGCGCTGCTCCACTCCGTGCAATTCCTAGATGCAGAGTAGGAGCGCAGAGTAAGAACAAATTTGACCACGATTTTAGAAGCAAATCCCTGCCAACAAGTGACTACAAACAATGTGTCATTCTACCAGGGCATGCTAGCCCTGTTCGACTGAGAACCCTGCCCAGCGATACATCCCATCTCTAGCTTGAGCGCGCCAAGGACTTCGCGTGAACCTTTCGACCAGCCTCCAACTTCCAATAATGCACGGCCCCTAATCCTCAGCATAAACCTCACAAACACACGTATCGGTCGCCCTAATGCCAAGTTTCTCAACATCCAGAGCCTAATAGAGCAACGCTCGTCGCTGCCTCGCGACCTACATCCACAACACATCCCTCGATCCTACTCCGAAGCAAAACTTCTGGGCGGCAATCTAAATTCCATCGTCATCCAGTTGATGCGAGCGAAGAACCGAATCACCGACGACAACAGAACAGGCCACTCGTCAAATTCCACTACACCCAAGCCTCATTCTCCTCTTCCTCCATTTATCGGCGACGCAGCGCCGGCGAGCTCTCATGGGCACAATCCCGCCCTGCTTGCCTCCCACGGCGCTCACTTCACAAGGCCCCTGAGCCAAACCCCTCGCGCACCTGATTTCCAAACAGAGCGATGCCACCAACGAAATCGATCCCGGTTTGTGTGAAATCGAATCCACGGGCGAAAGCGAGGGGACGACGTCGAAAGCCAGACGATTGCAATGAGGATGCAGGAGGCCGATCGACGACGAGACAACCGACCCCGAAAGAGGTTCCGCTGCAGAGTCCGGTGCCCTCGTTCGCTCGCGACTCCTGCGACTCCTGGCCATCTCGACGCTGGCCGCGATGAGACTGTCGCGATCTTCGAGTGTCGCCGATTGCGCCGATTTCGCTCTTTCGATTCCTCCCTTTTCCACCGATCAGCAGCAGCACCACGAAGATCGTAGTAACGGAGAGAATATTCTCCCAGAGTTCAAAAGATTCCCGAAAATCATTACGAATCTCGCTTGCTCTGAGCATTCCGCTCGAGAGGACGCACGCCGGAACCAAGATCCGTCAAACGTCCGGGACACCGACTGACGCAAATGGTAGAGGTGCGTCCGGGGTTCAGAGACCGGTGCGTGGTGAGATCGATGGCCTGCGGCGGCCCAAGGGGGGCCTGCAGCTGGTGGCTGACGATTGCCCGGCTCAGGATAAGTCGGGCGGGCCCGCACAGAGCGACTGTCGATTGTATAAATTCCTCGATGCCTCGATCGCGTCGAGTTTCCGAACTCGGGGTTCAATTCCAATTTGCCTTATCCGAAACTTCGGAGGCGAAGAAAGGGGACATGTCTGGCCAGCCTCGGCGCTAGCAGCAGTAGCGGATCTAGCTCTCGACGAGCATCGGAAGCCGAATTGTTGGCTGCCGTCTGCGTGCGTGATCGAGCAGAGATGGAGCAAGCATTGCGCTCCAGGACCATGGCACCGGTGGGCTCGTTGGCCTCGTCTGCTGCGTGTGTAGCCTCGACGTCGACGGTGGCGAAATTGACCCCCGTGCTGCGCAGCCACAGGCAGGCGCAATGGCGCTCTCCCCTACGAGTGTGTGCTTCGGCCTCGATCTCCGAGGAGGGAGCGGGTTCGGTGGTGAACAGAAGGCAGGCGTGCTTGGAGATGGCGACCGTGCTGGCCTCGTCAGTCGCTGCGCTTGCTGTGAAGCCCGGCGATGCCATGGCGAGAGAGGTGGAAGTGGGTTCGTACCTGCCGCAGGCAGCCGAGGATCCGAGCTTCGTGCAATTCAAGGCTTCGACGAAAGACACTCCAGCCTTGAGGGCTGGCAATGTGATGCCGTATCAATTCATTCTGCCCCCGACATGGAAGCAAGAGCGGGTTGCCAATATCCTGTCAGGGAACTACTGTCAGCCCAAATGCGCCGAGCCATGGGTGGAAGTGAAGTTCGGCGACGACAAGCAGGGAGCGCTGCAGGTGGTGGCGGCGCCGATGGTGCGGCTCACAAACAAGCCCAATGCCACCATCGAGGAAATTGGCAATCCCGAGAAGATTCTGTCGTCGCTGGGTCAGTTCGTCACGGGCAACAGCTTCGACCCCGAGGAGGTGATCGAGACGAGCGTCGAGCGCCGGGGCGATCAAACCTTCTACACTTACCAGCTCGAGACTCCATTCGCCAAGACCGGACAGCACAATCTGGCCACTGCCACGGCCAAGGGAAGTGTGGTCATGCTCTTCGTGGTGAGTGCCACTGACAAGCAATGGCAGGCCTCCGAGAAGCTTTTACGGACCATTCTCGAGTCATTCGGCGTGTAGTTTACGATGTATCATTTTTGAGGTAAATTCAGATCAGTCATCTGATCGGTAGTCCAAATCCTGTAGATGATGTACACTAAGGTCTTCCGCATCCATAGTTTTCAAGTGCTAAAAATGCTGCTTTCCGCCCTAAATCCCAGGGTTCTCCTTTGTAATCATGAAAGTTTAAGTCCCGAATTTCTGTGAACATAAATCTATTGCAACCGGTCTACAATTCTGTGCCATGAGAAATCTCTAGTATGGCTCTAGCTGTGTACTTTAGCCCTGTGCAAGTGCTAAAAATGCTGCTCTCCGCCCTAAATTCCAGGGTTCTCCTTTGTAATCATGAAAGTCTAAGTCCCGAATTTCTGTGAACATAAATCTATTGCAACCGGTCTACAATTCTATGTTATGAGAAATCTCTAATATGGCTCTATTACTTCGATTTAGCCCTGTGCAAGCAAAGGAGATCGCAGTGTCCAGATGTCAGTCATCTCATCATAAGCATTTCTAAGTACTAGTGTCATACCTCTGTTCAGGCTCCAGCGACAGAACTGAAGCTGGGCTTACAGATTTCTTTCCTTCCGAGGCAGGTGAGAGGAGGATCTGAGTGAGTGGAGGGAAATGTCAGGCTTCCCTGTCATGTGATTCCTGCGCAGCTTGGTTGGATGGAATCCGGTTTTGAGTTGTGTTGGCGGTTTCACCTACTTTGAATCCTGTAGTCGATTTTTCTGGGGTATGAAGTGTTGTTCGGAACCTCGATAGAATGGTCTTGCGTACTTATTACCTCCCATTTTAAGACGCTTAAGATCGGGCGGCCTTGAGCTGTTTCTGCCTCTGCCTTGCCGCTGATTTCTCATATGTCGACAGGCCGTGCTCTGCTCTGAAAAGCTTTTACCCTCCTGTGGATGTCCAGTCACAAACGTTTGTTCCACTGTCGTTGGGTCTTCTGCTGGAGGTTCTGGGTTAAGTAGGCTAGCGACCACAAGCTGATTGGCTGCTGAACAGGTCTGAACAAGTCATACGCGTCCGGGCATCCAAGACAATCGGTGAACGTCCTGTCGAAACTTACATTATTTTATAATAATCTGAGCTTTCAAAACAGTTTGAAGTTCCTGCTGCGGTGCTCGTAATTTCCTGTTTCAAAAATCTGAGCCCCAATTGACGAAAACCGTAGGCTTTCAACTTGCTCACTCCCCTGGCAATTGAAGCCTTCTCCACTACGATACAGAGTCTGCCTCACGAAGCCCTGGAAAAAGCCTTGGAACAATGTAAACCCTTCTCATGTTTCCCTTTCCGGTTTCGACTGGACGAGCTTCCTCCGTTCTCATGTCTCTCATGCTGATCTCATCTACCAGAGTTATTGATATCGCCCCAGCTGAAACGAAAATAAAATCGTCATTGCTCTAGAAAACTACTGTATTTGATCTTAACACCATTAATCAAATTTAAAATTAAATTCAAAGTCGAACTGTTCTCTGCCTCTTCTGGAAAGGTGAGGAGTAGCAGAGCACTTCAAATCTGATTGTAGGGAAAAGAATTTAGAGCAGGAGTAACAGGACGGGTATCAGTGCTTGATATTGGCTAATGGATTTTATGACCTTCAGGTGCGTGTAGGTCTACATCTTTCTGAATGTCGGGGGAAAGTGACGACATATTCCCTCCCTATTCCGACTTGTTGTTTCCCGACGTCACTGACCATGCGGACGACCTGGATTTCACGAAGGAATTTTTTTCGATGCTATCAGCAACTCCAATGACATCAATCATAGTGTTTGTACAACAAGTTACCTCTCACGGTCTCGTAATCGATTAAATCGGGGGTACAACATTTTTTTCACTAAAGCCAACCCGACTTACGTTATTTGACAAAATGTATTACATCATTTTCTCGTATAAAGTAGGTTTGGCTTTAGTGAAAAACGTAGTACTTGTACTATATTATATACATCAGGCGGGCTGGCTCAAGAGATTGAGAGGTATAAAAGAAAGAAGGAAACCGATTGGCTAGATAGCGGTTCGGAGGGAGGTGATGGAGACGGGAGGAATGGAATTCCGGGCCCCGAGAGCAAGTAGCAGCTGCTGGGCAGAATGGCAGCTCGTAGAAGGGGTGGGTTTTTTTTTGGTACACTAGCAGCTGTCATACATATGGAAAGGAAAACACCTGCCGGGGCCCAAGTTTGTGGAACCGTTTCTGGGAGATGTATTTCGAATGGTCAAAGATCCGACAAAGTTCTGGGATGACCAGGCGAAGGCCGCCACTAAAAATGTAGTACTTGTACTTTATTTTTCACTAAAGTCACTACAAGCGTGTGACGGGCCGGGTTCATGGGAGCATCGATCGGGACGAAATGCTGTGTTAGCATGCTGGAGGAAGTATAATCTCGTAAATAAATCTGCACATGCACGACTTTGGACTGTGATACATTTCAGAAATAAAAGCGAAAACTTTCTGGATCCTACCATCTCGTTGATATTACGGAAGGCTCTCATCACATAGATGGCCTCAAACATGGGACGCCGATAACAATTTCCTCTCGTTCAATAGTCCTATTTCTGTGAAGCCTCGTATTTTTTAAGACCAGAATTTGTTGGAGATTATTGCCGAGTCAGCTGCAACTTTTTCGCCGTCCTGATTTCGGTGCCAGGTGAAGAAGGCATGGGTGTGATTCTGTATATCGAGAATTCCGTGTCCAAAACTAGCTTCTCTGAACGCAGAGTAATCCGCTTGTGGCCGAGTGGACCTAGCATTCCCCAGAAACAATAAATTCAAAGTTTGTGGTTAAAACTTCCATTCGCCATAATGCGGTAGTTTTCGTATCTCAACAAACCGTTATCGGGACTCTTTACCCTCGAGAGTGCGCATGGGTTTTCATCAGAATTCATCAGAATACTGTTTTTCTACAGTATTCACGAAGGTTATGTAAGAAAGCATGTAGAAATTGAGTGGGAACGTCATTCTTCCCCTTCAAAGGGTAGGAATGACCTTTCCACTCATTTCCTGTCACAAATTGTTTTGATGGAAATGTATAGATGTCTAAAATCTCATAAAGCATTTGATTAATTGTAAGGAGAGTTAGAGTTCTTACTCAGCAGAGAGCCCCTCGATATTGCCACCATCTCCGATAACGATGTAAACAGGAGAACTCTCGGCGACTAGAGGATTGCACTGACCGTTCACTATATCATACTGCACATTCGAAACTGGATGCTGAAGCAAGACAAATGGGCAAAGTCAGGAATTAAACATTGCTGCATAATTGAAATGAAAAGTTACGGATGAATGTTGCTGCAAACAAGGGGATCGAGTGCTTACTGTTCTTTCGTAAGCGTGGACGTGCCCTGCGAAAACAACATCGACTTTGTATTCCACAAGGAATTGTTCGAAGATGACACGCATGGGCTCACCTTCGTAATAGTGATCTGAGTTGCTATTATACAAAGGTGTGTGCATGAGCACAATCAACCAAGGTGTCACATTTCTATCCACTCTTCTCAGTGCTGCCAGCAGCCATTTATATTGTGGAGTGTACTTACCTGCAGTATTTTCACATACACATCAAAAGTGCATATTTGGCTCTGCCATGCCACACTTCCAAACCTTTTGCCAATGAGTAGCAGAAAAACAAACTTATTGTATCGTCTCCCAAAGATGCAACCGATAGTTTCCATCCAAAATTACATAATAAAAAAGAGAAAGTATACCAAAAGCAGAATATGACGACAGAACAATGATCGTGGCTGGCCCCCTCTTAATCGAATACCATAATGGAGATGTGCTGTTCGAAGACCTGAATGGTGTGTGGAAACGATGTGTATATGGCTTAAAAGGTATGGTCTCACCCTTCACAATCAACAAACATCAGTTGGGTAAAGAAAGCGAATTTTCTTAGATCTATTCCGTAGTAGAACTTTCAAACAGCACAATTATAAATGATATTATCATAAGAACCGATTTGAACTATTCAAGGTAGCCGAAAAAACTGTCATCATTTGTCCCACAGAGATCAAACCAAACGCACCAGTAACGATCACAGTTGCTTCCTTTCATTTGGTCAATCCCTGAAGAACTCTGAAGCTAAGATTTAAACCAGAGGTGCCAAGAGGATCTAATAAGACCTTTTCACACTAGCAAAAAGAGACAACATGCAAGTAGTGAGTAAGTGCTAAGCTACTTACAAATTCAGGGAGAAAGTCCAACTCGTGGTTTCCTGCGGTTAAGATCCATGGTTGGAATGCTGCACTTGGCTCGATAAGCCGGGACCAGGTATCCCAGCGGATATTATTGTGAAAGGGATAGGTATCGGCATAAGACAAGTCACCCACAAACAACACTGACTGTCCACTGCTGTTCATGTAATGCTCCAACGTGGACAAGGAGTCGAAAGTTTGTCCAAGATCACCTGCGAGAAAACTCAGGGAGCCAGTAAAGAACATGTCAATGAAGAAGGAGATCAAAGGCGTATGCGTAAGTTTTGAAACAAATTTCGATTCCAGCTGGACACACATTGGAAAGCAGAGATATCCTCACCAATAACACCGAAGGTGTACGAAGTATCCAGCTTGCTCTCCGGGGGAGTAATAAACCAAAATTCTCGAGATACATTTCCACTCCCAATTGCGTAGAAGTACCTAGTGTCGAACTGCAAAAATCGAGATCCCACAAGAATCTTCAATCCTTTTAGTACTGTCAAAAGCTTATGACACAGGCATAACTTTCCGATACTGGAGACACTTCCACATTTTCTCAAGATCGTTTTCAGGACCAAGAACGCATGTTATGTTATGAATGGGTTCTACAAATTGAACAGCAGAATACTTCTTTGAAATATCTAATTCTGTAGCTAAATAACGAATTTGGACGGAAGAAGTGCCAGAATGGACCTGAAGACCACTGATCACTGCGTGGTGGATAAAACCAGAGGTGTAATTGTAGAAGCTGTAGCTGTAAGCTTCACCGATTACAAAAGTGGTGTAATTGCCTTGGGCCTGACCGTACAAGACTTTGCCGTCTCCAGGTTCATCTTGGGTTACCCAAGATACAATGACAGCAGTTCCCTCATAATCTCCTTGATGAATGTGAACCTGCATAATGATTCATTATAACTCATTTGGATCCCATGACAGAAACTTTAGATTGTAAAATACATCTCACTACAACTAAAGTTGAAATCATACCGATTCATTGTAAGAGTCATATGGAACACTGCAGGTCATCCTCAGAAACTGTCTTTGAAATCAGATAAACGTGGAGTGCTAGATTCTGCCAGCAGCAAACCACAACTCCACTCTCAACCTTATTAAACTGAATATAATATTGTTTTGGCCTTGGCTTTTACAGCAATGTGGATTACTCAGGTGTTAAACAATTCGAGGAGATTTCAGGATCTGAGTACTGACATCAAAACTGATTTCTGAAAGAACAATAGAAACCTCGAAAGTCTAATGTGTCTACCTGCTGAGGAGCATTATACTCTTCGGGAGCTTTGACATGAGCATTGTCCTCGGGGAGGTCCTCACTTGCTGCAAGTTTACGCACATAACGGCTGGTGATGCCAGCAGAGTTCGGGCTAGCGCTAGACAACATCAGAATGGCGCAAAGACATACGATCGCTCGTGATGACGACCCCATCCTGTTACATCCAGCGACATAAATTCAGAGAGATGATTACCGCAAGGAGGAATTTGTCGCTCTACTAGAAGCCTAACACAAAACCAAATTGAAGGGAGAAACCTTACGTAGACATCTTAGGCTCTGTAATGGCAGAAGCAAGGCCTGCGCTCTTTCAGAGCCCCTTCACTTATCAAATGAGGTGTTCTGTCATCAAATCCAGGAGATTCGAACTCCTGCACGAACACGTTGCGGATCGAGTCAGTGAGGATTAGAGAGCCAAAGATGGTCCAAATTGGTAACTAATGCAAGTTTGAAATGGGCGAAACTGAAAGTAAAAAATTTGAGAGCACTCGATTTCCACGGAGTTAGGGAAAGAATTCTCGGAAGCGAATACGGAGCATTTCAATTCTGCAAGTATGGTACATTAGCACCTGCAAGAAATCATGAATTCTCTAATGTCCTCGATGTGGGCACCTCTGTACGACGAGTCTCCCGTAATCAGACTGTGAGTCTGACGACAGTATCTAATCTAGCAGACACAAAGGGCCTATCATTCGGACAACACCACATCACGCATCTCTACAGCAATGTCGGACGCACATCGTCGCGCATTGCAGGGCACCCAGAGCTCCCTGCGACAAGACCGCTTCGGGAACCACCATGGCCCAGCTCTTGCACCCCTAAAGTCGACCGGGCTGCAAGCAGTTGCGCAATCGACAGGCGAAGATCAGGGCATCGGTACAGAGGACAGATCCAACTCTCGCATCCATCGCACCTGAATCTCCACCGTGGAGATTCCACTCCCCCCCTCTTGCGCAACCCATCATAGCGCCGACTGTGGCGCTCGATCCTGCGTGCTCATGTCATGGATCGCGATCTCCTAGACACGAAGCCAAAGACGACGACATCAGCAGCACTTCCTCGCGTGCGCCCTTCAGAAGCCCACACCCTTCTTCCCACGCCCCGAGGGCCGACTCAGCACGCAGCCATGTCGGGATCTCCTCGAGCACATTCCGCATAAAATATGCACGGAAAGCTGACGGAGCCCCGAGTCAGCAGATCCCATCGAATGAAATTGTTCGATGCGCAGCACATGTCAATTTCCGGACAGAAAAGTGCAGAGGAAAGACAAGGATGACGCAGTGGACTGGAGAAATTACAGTCCCAGGAGCTTCGCTCCAATTACTTCTTTACAGGACCTAAATGTCGGGACGCAGTAAAAAAGGCTGTGCATCGAGCAAGCTGAGACGATAAGTCAACACGGCAGCCGGGACCTAATGATGATGGATAGACCTGTGACGCTGCTCTGCTCCAGCGGGTTGACACCTTCCTCGAACTGCCTGCCGCTGTCAAGGTTCGTCGTAGACATAGAAGGCTAAAGGGCTTTCCTCTGCCTGCTGGCACGGATGGGAGAGTCGAGCACCTCGAGCGAGGAAACGAGTCCCTTCCTCTTTGCCTCAAATCTGGGCTATACCGGGACAAGGAGCGCGTGTGCATCAGCAAAATGGGCGAGAACTTTGAAGATGGAAGCCTCTGTGAACTGCTTCTAACCAATGGACGATGGTTCGGTAGCTCCTCTCTGCTTTCGTACGAGTCCAGCCAGCTCCGGATTGAATTCACGGATCCGAATTAAGAAAAATGATAGGAAGATCTGTCGTCGACGACTGAAGAAGGAAGAGCTCGCACTCGAAGCATGTCCATGCAGCCGTCATGGTAGACGGGTACAGATGCTCACTGGTGGCCTTAGAATCTAGCATCTGCACGAGACAAAGGGGTCGACACTCCACTCGTTCAAGCCAGTGTTTTCAACAAGAGTTACACGGCCAATGTCGTCAAATGGCTACTCTAACAATCTCCCGACAAACCATCAGATCAATACCACAAGCTCAACCAGGTCGATCGGGTGATCCTCCGGCCGAGGGAAGGTTGATATGGTTGTACGGCGATCACCTCAGCTCATAAGTGGGGTTGAATTGGGCGAAGAAGGAAGACTGGAGAGATATTAAATCAGATTTCGAAGAAAATCTGGCATCTGAGGTTTTGGGCTACATAACGCAGAATTAAACAGAACACTGGTTGAGATTGGGTCATACGTCCATGAACTTTCATGAACTCATGACCCCAATCGTCCAGTCTGCCCGAGCTTAAAATCATGGAAATATATTTGAGCTGGTTATACTTTTCTCATGAGATTCAGACGAATGAACACTTTTTTTTTCAGCAGTACTTTCTGATGACCTCCTTCCTGAAGCAGCGAGCTCACACGCAAGCACGTGGCCATTTGATCATTCTCACCTGTCTCTGTAACGTCGCAGCATTGACCTCGAGAGCTATGAATACTCGGGTATCAGATTTCCTCGCGATTCCTTGTGAGCAAAAGTCCAAGTTTTATGTCGATCAAATTTTGTGTCAGAAAGAGCGATCGTGTTTGGCCAGCATTTGGTCAATGTGGTGAAATATGTATCCTTCAGCTGAGCATCTCCAAAGCAAGTAAAAACTGTTGTTCAATTCAAATTTTCCGGGAGTGGTAAACATGGTCACTTATTTAAACAAGGACAGCACACACAAAAAAACAACGTATAAGTAAGTACAAGAGCTTTGAGCTCAGAATCGATACTCTTTTGTATTTTTGTAAGAATCACATTTGTATTCGATGAAGTTTCAGTCCGCACAGGAGACAAAGTTCTTGTAAACGCGAATGGATCAGCGCTGGAGCTCGGAGCTTATATATCTCTAATCTTGACAAACTCGTCCCATTTCCTAAAATCTTTGTCAGTTCAACTTGGAATCTGAGACAAAAGCTGCAAACTATATCTACTTTACAACCTCAGATGCATGTAGTCAAGAGGAATGCCAAGGAACAAGAGCAGCCATCATGGAGGAAAATCATGATCCAACGAATCGCAGATCGTTCCACCATTTTTCATTCCAGCGATACAACAGCATAGCGTGTGCATCCCTCCACATTTGTGTGATCAGTAAATTACCACAAAAGTTCAAGCCCCTCAAACAATTAATCTCCAAAATCGGAGTTCGTGATGATTCCTCATAGTTCAATATGTTATTACATCATACTAGACAACGCATTTTCACTTTTCAATCACATGTATCATAATGCAGCGTAAGTGTATAAAAATTGTTGCAATCACTCGTAATTATTTATGTATGCGTTTTATCTTGGATTTATTCTATGCAGTATCATAAAACCATATATTTACCTACATAATTGTAAAAATATTGATTTTTTTATTTTACTTTTAGTGGTTAATATTTATAAATTATTATCTGATCGATATTGGTAAATTAAATCTAGTCAAATACTTCAACCGTGTAATATTCAAACTAATTTTTTAATTAAGAATATATTTTATTACAAATTATAAAAATCTAGACATTCTATGTTTTATACAATTTATAGTCTGCAATAAACGTAATCAAGCTAACCGCCTAAATGCTAAAGACCTAACAAGCCCTTGATGCAATATACATGTGACATTACTCTGTGCTGGTTGGCAAGTACACACAATGGTATTCGTATATGTCAATTCTGTATGTTTAACACAAATATACGATCAGGAAGATTGTGTACGTAGATATCACCTGAAGTTGGGGTTTTCATGAGGCCCAAACTTGTTGGACAAATTCTACACACCTACATATAAAGTTTGGAACTTTTGGTAAAAATAAGCGAGGTAGTTTCTTGAAATTATTCCATATTCAAAGTGTATCACTCTTGAAAATTCTCGGATTGAGAAAAATGGAGATAGGCTGTGATAACTAACAAATACCAAAATAGAGCATAATGATATAGATTAATTCCCACATAGACAAATGCAATACTAAAAGTCACTTCTTATGCCAATGTCACTACCAGAAGACATTGCTCGATTACGACTGAAGGCCCGAAGAGCAGAATATAATCACATTCACAACCTGAAACTTTTCCAATTGTCACATGTGGGAATCGCCTGCGACCCCACACTCAGATTTTAGGGAGAAACTTTCCAGCATTGCATACATCCGACTCACTTACCTGGTACCCAAACCCGAATTTGCTTAACTCCCGAAGAGCCCCCGGCTACTGAGAACATTCAAGCTGGATATTCACAACTCCCGATGCAGTAGCTTCGACAAACAAGAGCGCACTGTGCTTGGTGGCAGGATCACACACCAGCACATAGACACACAATGGATACATATTGACAGTCAAGACAACCAATTGACAAAAAGTCCCCCAAGAAAAGAGTCTTTGACCTCTTTATTCACTCTGATGTTCTAGGAATCTCAACCACCTGAGGTGAACTATTCTCAGGTGATGTGCCATCCGACGTAGCAGTTACAGCGTACTCTGAGCTTCCGTCGGCTCCCAACCTACGTAAAACGTTCTTTATCTCTCACTCTACATTCTCTCGCGCTTCTACCAATCTCTCAAGAAAATAATTAACTACTTCTACTAACTGCTTGTGCCCCGCGGATCCCTTGATCTTCGCACTCATCAAACGCCACTCCAACAATATCTAGCTCCAACCACTTAACTGATTGCAATTCCCACAATGCAAATCCACGCAGGCACTTCTCAACTCGCACTCGCAATTCGTCATTCGTAAGTCGTCTCGTCCTGCAACCTCAGGGCTGACTCTCACTTAGGTTTACCTCAGATTGGCTTTTCGGTAGCTCATCATGGTTCTAGAAGACTAGAATTGCTCCTCATATTCATAACGCAAACACCCTCTCACACAATCTCTCAAGGTATCACTCCAACTCACACACATATCGACACTCCAAGGTACTGAAAATTTGTCACTCTTTCATATATAAAACAAGTTCCCACATATGAATTTTCCAAACTTGCTTGAGAGTCTTTTCACTACCTATCAATATATACTTCTTGAAAATTTATCATAGTAACAAATGGTATTTCTTATCTAACTTACTTTTACAAAGATAAAGCATAGTAAGGTTGACTAGTTATCAATATGTGGCAACATGCCATTGGACTCCTAAACCTTCTAGATGTATACTAATCCCTAGATTAAGGTGGCGACATGCTATTGGTGTCTTTCCAACTTCTAGAACTTCCACTTTCCACTAAGTCAACATAAGACTTAGTGTAACCAATAGAATACTCTTTACTTAGTCAAACCAATCAAAACTAAACATGAAGTCAAAAAGTCTTTTATCTTGGAATCTAGACTTTTGTACAAGACAAAATAGAAGTGCCGACTCAAATCTTCTAGAACTTCTTTAGTTATTTCGCCAAGTATAGGTCTTATAGCTAAACTAGCTAGACTTAGTCATAACTAGCTGGATTTAATCATAACTATCATAACCATGATTAACTCCTTGGCTAATTCTAGTTTTATTTCACACATGCAATATAAGGTCTTATAGAGTTACATCCATTCGATTTTGGACCCGTGATGTACGTCCGCCTAGCTCTGAGGCATGTGTTGCATCGGAGCAAGAGGAGAAAAGCCTACTCTGAAGTTGAAGTTTGTGATTCAATAGGCAGATTAAGAAGATGAAATTAAAATGGAGGTGTGTCTGAAAGTGCACATCTTGTGAGTAGGAAGTTGATCGATTTTTTGTTAGTATTTAGTTATTGCATGCAGTATAGTAATCAGATTAGAATAATATTGTGATTAGAAAGTCAATAGATTTGTTGTTAGTATTTAGTTACTGAGTGCAATCTAGCAATCAGATTAGAGTAATCTGTAGTGTTAGATCTTCTTTGTCTTCTTACTCTTCTTTGTAGTCAGATATATTGATGGTCGATGTTTTTGATCATCCCTATCTACTTTGCTACTTAGGGTATCATATTCTCATTGCTTTCATATTGAGTTCAGTCTTTACTTCTAATATGATATCAGAGCGAAGGACTTTGTTCTTCTTTTGCCATCACCCGCCCATAAGATATTGATCAATCGTGTTACTTTCAGTAAGCAGATGCCTTACTGTTTGAAGAGAACTTGTTATTCTAGTACTTCAAATATCAATGGACAAAGCTTCAAATTTTTCTAAGTCTATGAAGCTTAATGGCGTGATAACTATCTAAATTGATCAATCCATCTCAAAACATTTTCGCACCAAATTATCTGAATTGGTCAATCCGTCTCAAAACAATTCTTCACATCAAAGATTTGTAATCGTAAAACACAAGAATCACTCATCGTTCAATGCAATCAACACCAAAAACACAAAGAGTATAATGTGGTTCACCCTCAATGGCTACGTCCATGGGAAAATAACACTCGAGATAGTTTACTATTTCAGATGAAAAACATCATCGTACCCGTAGAAGCATCAGGGTAAATCTATCCAACGTATGCCACCAAACTCGGCTATAAATAACTACACATGAGGTTACCCCTTAACCGGAGTTAATCTCAACAAGATTGTTAGGATGAGATCATTCACAAACGAATTCTGCTTCACAATTTCAATGGCTCTCGTTAGCTAGACATTCCTAAGCGTCACAATCAAATCTGTATCATTGATTCATGCCATTGTGCATTTTGACATTCTATTTTTTATTTCGGATTTTGATAACATTCTTGCAGAGCTTTGGACTCACCTCCATCAACAATATGAATTGCATAACACACAAAGACGTCTCATTCTCTCTCACTCATTGTACTCGCATCAGCTTGCACATGGCGCTTCTTTTCAAAAGTACTTATAACATGTAGACTCTATCACTGCACAGCTTGTCGGCATCGGTCATAAACTACCCAACACTAATCTCATACATCACAAGCTAAAGGGATTGCTTGCTAGCTACAGTTCTTTTGTGAATAATTTTCTGAAAAAATGAAGCGTCAAACTCCTCTGTCATATCAAAATCTCGTTCAATGTCTTCAATTCATGTAGTACTTTACTGAGGGAAATCCACAATTAAACATGGAGCCTAACTTCTCCGCTATTAAACGTCATAACTTCTGTGCCCGCTCAAATTATTCTCCTTAATCAATTGGTTTTTATGTCAACTCAACACCACAGGTAGAATGGATAGTGTCACATTCAGCATGTTGTGACTAATGTAGCAAGGCTTATCTTCTTTAAGCTTATTGTCACCTGCAAAAATTGGACGAGTCTATTGCACAATTGCAGATTTGCG